AGGCTCAGGGGTCCACGATTATCTTCTGTGTCTGTGTTAATTGGTTTCCCTTTTCTTTGTTGAAGAGGGTCTGTGCAATCCTTCTGCCTAGTCTGCCATCTTGCCGGAACTCACTCTCTCTCTTTTTTTGCCTGCTTGCACAAGAATTTAGAGAGGACTTTGATTAATTTCTAGGTGAATTATAGGATCTTAGACTTGGAAGAAGAACTTAGGAATTCTCTACTCTGCCCCTCAGTATGGTGATATTCTTTATTTTTAGAGCTCTCATCTGGCCTTAGCTACCCACATTTCAGGCATCTGCTGGCCGTGTAAGGAGAGCTCTGGAATTTTCACTTCTGAATCCAGATCAAAGCAGGATAGACCCTCAGGCCCCAGAATAATAACCTGACTACCTTTGTTATTCAGTCTTCATACTTTAGATCTCCTCCATGTCATGGAGGTAACACTTTCTTATTGTGAAGTGCCTTTTTAGAGCCATACACCAGTTTCTTTTCTGATTATTTTCATTTTCTCAAAATAAGAAACAGTACTTTTCTTAAAAGCAGTATGGTCTTTTGGCCAAGTGTTGTGGCCTATTGGTATAGATCCATTCTAACATTTTTCTAGCCCTGTCTTGGATTTATTCATTTAACAAATATGGGCCAAGTTCTACTTTGCTGGAGGTACAACCTCATTAGCCTGTGTTAGCAGGTATTAGAGGGTTGATTACTTTTGTTTCAGCACCTTGTTTTCTAACTGTCAGTTCAGGTACAGCATCAAGGTCATGTTGTCCTTAAATTGTTTTATCAGCAGCTGTCACAGTCCATCCCTCCCCCCTCCTTTTTTTTTTTTTTTTTAAATTTATGGTATTTATTTGATCAGAATAACCTCAACCTGTACTTTAGACTTGCTACTAATAATACTCGTATGCCATCCTGTATTCCTGTAGCTCTTAGTTAAAACTTGGTTTGACCTACATAAACTTTGCAATAAATCTTTCTTGCTTTTGCCTTTCTGCATATTCTGCTATGTGGCATTGCTTTTTTGTTGTTGTTTTTCCTTCCATCTTTCTAAAGCATGATGGTATGAAACCATGGTAATTTCTACAAGTTTGATTGTATTTTGTTTTAACACAGGAGCAATCATTTTTGTAGGCCTTGAACAGCTCAGGTGTTTGTATTTTGTTACATGCCCTGAGCCTTCTGTTTGTATTTCGCCAAACTAGTACTACAGGTGCATCTGCTATCCCAATTTTGTTATGCAACTCAAAATAGTTGTATTATTTTTAACTCACACAAAAGGGTACTTTTGGGGACTACTCTTTAATATCTTCTTTAATCTTTCTCTATCTCAGGATGTCCATTAATAATATTATTACTCCTTTGAGATAGAGAGGAAGTAAGAATGATTCTCCCCATTTCAGAGATAAGGAAGCTGAGGCATGGACCTCTTCTGGGCCCAGAGCTAAAAGTGTTGAGAAGAGAGCTCAGGCTTCCTGCTCTCTTCTGGACTTCCCTCCTGTTGGCTCTGACTATCTCTCAACTGCCAGCTGATCTTTCTGACCAGGGTTGGAGTGTTGTGCTACTGCTTGATATTTCTGACATGAGATTTTTCCAGGAAATCTGGAGACAAGTCCTCTCCACCTTCCATTGCTCCACTGGCCATGGATCCCCCAGATCTCGGTGAAGAGATGGGCTCTGCCCAAGTGGACCCCATCCTGCAGGAAGACTTGAGGCACCTGGACTTGAAGGGAGAGGAGGGGGAGAATAGGGAGATTCCTCAGCTGTGTGAGGAGAAGTCCTTATCAGAAGACTCGGAAGACACCAGTGTCGAAGCCCTGAACCAAGACACCACAGGCAGTAAGACCCTTCAAGGTACAGCTTTGGGAGCAGAAGAGCCCAGCCCCCTCCTCTCAGTTTAAGAAACTGAAGTGTTCTGCTGCTTCTGACTAGAGCTACACTAAAGCTCTAGGAGAGGAGGGGGAAGCCCTTCATTTAGATGAGGGCAGTCCACCAGCCCTGTGACTTCTTGCCTGGGAGTCTGTTCCACGTACGTCTCCCTGGGTGCCCTCTGCCTTTGTGTTTGGGGTGTTTCCAGTTACTGAGCTCCTAAAATTTCTTGTGCTCTGACTTCTTTGGACAAACTCTTCTGGCTTGATGGGACTTTGTGGGTTGGCCCCTTCTCTGGGATCAGCTTCCACTTTAAACACTCAGTGCTCAAGAGAGTCTGGGAGCTTCAGTACTTGGGAGTGGGTTCCTTCTGAAGCCAAGGAGGTGAGGAAAGGGGTAGAACTGGGCTAGGGGAGTTTTCCATAGTGTACCAGATATTCTGTGTCCCTCAGGAAGGATGTGGTTCTTTTCTTTTCTTTTCAGAGCAAATGGATGCACTCTTACAGCGATGCTTCCTGCATGCTTTGAAGAGCCAAGTCAAAAAAGCTGACCTCCCTTTACTCACCAGCACCTTCCTTGGCGGCCACATGTTCTCCTGCTGGTATGGAAGGGACTGGTGCAGAGTGGAGGCCAGGAACTGGATCTCACTCTTGTTTCTGGGAAGTAGGACAGGACAGGGTTGCTGGGCAGCTTGGTTGAAGGTGAGGCTGTGGAAATTGTGCCTGATTGCTCTAGGGCAGGGGACAGCAGGAAGAATGGAGTAGAGGGTTGGTCTGACAAATAAATTAGATTCTGAGTTTTGAAAAGTTAAATTCTAGCCAGTGAAAGGATATTGAGACAATAGAAGGTTAAAATCCCTGGACAGCCAAGGGCTGTCCACAGAGGATCCAAGATTCTCTGAACTCTGCCTTTGCTGTGGTGATTCTGGGCTCCCGCTCATCAATCAGGCAGCATGTCCTTACAGGAAGTGTCCAAGGAGCAGCCTCTTTGTTGGGAGACTACTTCCAGAACATTTATCATTAATAGCAATCCTCCTCCCGCAACTTCTGAAAAGTAGGTGGGTCAGATTAGGTTATATAAGGAAGATACACCCCAGCCCCAAACATAAATCACCAGGCAGTATTATGTCTCTAGAACTTGAACTTTAAAGATAAGACCTTCAGGGTTCAAATGCCAGCTCCCCAGGGTGTTTGAGCAGGGCAAACGTGAACTAGTCACCAGCCTTCTCCAAGCCCTAATTTTCAAAACTCATAGATAGATTGCTGTCAGATTAAATAGTCAGACAGATAATGAGCACTCAATGAATATTGTCATATCAGGAAGTTTGCGTGTTGATTTTTGCCCTGAGATTGAACTTTCTTTTTGAGAATCTTGCTCTGTGTTTTTGAAGTGGTTTTAATGTGACTCTCTTCCTATTTACTTGTGGGCTTCTTTAAGGCATCCTGCTCACTTTGGCATCTGGAGTGTGTGGTGGAATACTTGGTGATCTGTCCTAATCTTGCTGGGTTAGAAGTAACTAGTAAAGGAAGAGTGAGGCCTTTGGTCATGGAATATTCTCTAGGGTAGAGATTCTTAACCAGGGTGGGTTCTAGAAGGTCTCCCTGTGCATCCCACCACTATTGTATACCACATTTTGAGTGAAGATACATGTTTGGGGGAGAGGGAAAGACCTCCCCCAAAACTAATTGCTCTAGGGCAGGGGTCAGCAAACTATTCCTGTGTAAAAGGCCTGACAGTAACTTCTTTAGGCTTAGCAGACAGTCTCTATTGCAGTGACTCTCAGCTCTTATAGCACTAACACAAACATAAATGACATATAAATGAACGCACATAGCCAGATTTTGCCCATGGGATGTATGTAGTTTGCTGAACCCCGCTCTGGGGCTTGGCTGCCCACAGGGGGCTTGGTGTTGGAAAGGGTCACCTTGAAGTGGAACTTTTGAGGCCACAGAAGGTTGTCTAGTTTGAAACAAATCTAGTGCTGTATTATCTACTATGATTGCCACTATGAATCTAGCACACTATTTAATTAAAAGTAAATAAAATTCAAAGTTCTGTTCTTTGGTCACAGTCATATTTCAAGTGCTTAATAGTCACATGTAGGTAGTGGCTACCGTATCGGAAAGCTCAGATAGAAAACATTCCATCTTCCCAAAAAACTCTATCATATAGTGCTGACCTCATGTCTCAAAGTCTGCATCCCTATCACATGTCACCGCTGGGCAGGGAGTTCTAGAATGGTAGCCTCTGTCTGAAAGTGGGAGAGGAAGGCAGAGGAAAAAGGCCCTCCTTCAGCATCAAGCAGGCCCCACTACTACTTCTTTGTGAGCTTAACTTGCCTTTTCCATCTGTCATCAGCCCTGAAGGACAACAACTGGACATAAAGAAGTCAAGCTACAAAAAGGTAAGCAGGCATCTTCTTGGCAGACCCACATAGAGTTGTACACAGAGAGGGGCACACATGACCTGAGGTGGAGGGATTCTGGGGAAGTCTTGTCTGCAAGGTTCAGGCTAAAATGAAGCTTTTCATTCAACTGTGAGGAGAGAAAAAGAGAACTCTGAGGCAGTTGGGTGGGCACCCACTCCTATCTTCCCTTGGCCTCTTTATATCTGACTAGAGTCCTGAAAGGCTTAACCAGTTGGTCTTTAGCAGCTTCTCTCTCCTGCCCATCAGGATGGAGTCCTCCCAGTTCCTCATGTGATGAGGGCGGGCACTGTCTTGTATCCCTCCCCAGTGCCTGCCAAGCTCAGCCTCTGGCACATCATAGGCACTCAGTATGTTTGTGAACCCATGAAGTCCCCTACCACCGGCCCTCTCTCCCTTAGCTCTCTAAGTTCCTGCAGCACATGCAGCAGGAGCAGATTATACAGGTGAAGGAGCTGAGCAAAGGGGTGGAGAGCATTGTGGCTGTGGACTGGAAGCACCCGAGGTGAGTGCAGGGGGCCTGGTCACTAGCTCAGCTACCCAGGGCACCTGGGCCGTAGACTGGGGATTGCCTAGACACTAGTATAAAATGTTTTTTTTCTTTCCTTCTGCTGGGTTTTAGGATCACATCTTTCGTCATACCCGAGCTCTCCCCGACCTCCCAGACTATCCAGGAGGGTAGCAGGGAACAGCCCTATCACCCTCCAGATATAAAATCCCTCTACTGTGTCCCAGCCAACATGACCCTGCTCTTCCAGGAGTCTGGCCACAAGTGAGTTTTTGGAGAGCAGCCCTTCTCTACCTCTTAGTGTCCTGGCCTATAGTTCCTCTCCCCCCGAGTAGTGTTCTCTTATGACTGGCAGCCTGCTCCACCCCTCTTCTCCCTATCTCCCAATTCCAGCTTCAAGCCTCCTTCCTCTGGGAAGTTTCTCTGGGCTAAATGGAATGAGAGAGATTTCTCCCTGTTCTACCTATAATGATTCTTCACACAGTCCTGCTCACCTCAGTTAGGAAAAGGGAAGAAGTAGAGGTTGAACAGTCAAGGAGAGTGCCCTGCTGAGCAGGGAGTATGTCTTGGTCTTTGCAGTCTGTCTCCTGGTAGAGCATGAACTAACCCCCCTGGTTACTTCTCACTAGGAAGGGGAGCTTCCTTGAGGGCAGTGAGGTCCGAACAGTCATCATTAACTACGCCAAGAAAAATGACCTGGTGGATGCAGATAATAAAAAGTGAGTGGATGAGGCAGAGAACCTTTGTCTGGTTCATTAGGTATGAATCTAGAAGACATAAAGACATGTATAGGGTGGATCTCTGGGATGGAGGGGACCGTAGAAGACCTCAGTATTTTAGAAATGACCAGGACTAGTGGTTTCCAAATCATGGGCTCCGAATACCTAGAATTATCACTTAAGGTGTTCACATCCATAAGTGTTGTAAACATAGACTGTAGACTGAATAAATACCATCGCACATATATCCACTACTGGTTTCCAAATACAAATGCTGTTATGAGGAATAAAATGTGAACTTATTTTAAAAATTTTATTGAAGTCATCAGAGCTTTTTAGTAGTCTGTTTTTTTAATACGTAGATACAGAAATTCAACTACCAAATTAAGGGGTTTCTATTAACTTTTTACTTGAAAATAATATTTTTACTTTAGAAACACATGCTTTCTCTTCAGGCCTGGGATAAAACTCACTCCCAAGGGCTGGCTCTCAGCCCAACAGTAATAAGACTTACATGCAGAACACCTGACCCAGGGCAATATAGAGATACAGCCCTTGGAGCAGTCGGCCATGGAGCACCAGAGGGGCAACATTCACATGGAGGAAAAGCTGGACAGATAGGAGTGCATAACTAAGAAGGGCACATGGATTGGGGAGGAGGGGGGGTCACAGGAAAGAGAGAGGAGGAGAGTGGGTTAGGGATGGGGATGGTAATGGGGGAGTAAAACCAAATGTACACAAACTGTTGAATGTGAAACAAATTCTGCTCTGTAAATTTGCACCCAAAACACAATTAAAAAAAAAAAAGATGAAAAAAAAGAATGTAAGTGATAAAACAAATTATGCTATATTTATACAATGTAATACTATATACTATGATAATAAATGGTCTGTAAGAGCAACATTGAGGAATCTCACAGGTTTAATAATGAGAAAGGGAAACCAGACAGAGAAGAGAAAAAAAAA